CTGCCCCTGCTGTCACCTCCTGCAGGAAGAGAGGGCCTCCTCAGAAGGCGGTAGAAATCCCCATGACACACAGGCGGTGTCTGCTCTCCTTCCCTGCGTCCTGGGCACCCTGCTTTGACTCAGGCCACTCCCGACTGCTCAGGAGGATTGTGGACCTGTTGTCCGTGGAAAAGGAAAAGCTGTGGAAAGGGGAAGCTGCTATTAAATGTACTGAAAGGGCGGGTGGGTGGATGAGTAGCAAAATGGATTTCTTCCCTGGTTTTTTGAGATAGGGACTACTATGTAGTTTAGACTGGTCTTGAACTCACTGTGTAGTGTAGGTTAGCCTCAAACTCACAGCGATCTTCCAGCTTCAGCCTCTTGAGTGCCGTGATCACGTGTGTTTGCTACTACACCCAAAGCAAAACTGAATTTTGGAGATCATGAAGATTTTTAAAAATTAACAAATAGGAACAGCATAACTCATAATAGCTAACTCTTAGAATCAGGGACAAGGCTGGGGAGATGACTCAGTGGAATAAGCACTTCCCTGACAAGCACAAGGGCCTGAGTTCAATCCCTGTTTCTGCAAAAAAAAAAAAAAAAAAAAAAAAAAAAAAAAAAAAGACACAGTGGAGTATTACTTAATAAAGAGGGATAAATTTGCATCATTTGTAGGAAAATGGACGCACCCTGACCCCATGTTGTTTAAGTAAAATGGATCAGACACATAGGCTTGAATATAGCATGGTTTATTTTATATGAAAAGCCCAAAGTATAAATAAAGAGCAAAACAAAAATAGATGATGGATAGTCCCGCCTGAGACATGGCGCTGAGACAGTGACTGAGACTAGGCGTGGTGGCACGAGCCTGTAATCCCAAGGCTTGGGAGGCTGAAAACAGGAGAATCACTACAAGTTTGATCTAGAGACCCTGCAGACCCTGTACTAAATACATAAAAAATAAATAAATGAATGAATGAATGATGGATAGTAGGAAACACAAAGATGATGGACCTTTTGCACATGGTAAGGGGAATTCAAGATGCAGAGAAGGGGGAAGTAAAAGGAATTGGGCAGTGTTCTATCCATGCACCAGCTCTTCACAGTGTGTGTAATGTCCTGCAAACACCAGGTGTAGTGGCACACACCTATAGTCCCAGCACTCGGGCGGCTGAGGCAGGAGGATCACCTAGCGTTTGAGGCCTTCTGGGCTACTTATAGAGGCCCTGTCTTGAAAATCAAAAAAGGAGAAGAAAATAAAGTGGGTAGATGGGGCAGATGTAACTCAGTCACATCCTGGGGGCCCAGTGAGATAGCTCAGCAGACCAAGTGCCTGTTAAGACAACCTCAGGGATTGGCGTTCGATCCCTGGCATCACAGTCTCGGTTAGTAACATGGTGTTGCATTGCCTGAGTTGTAGGTTCGTGTGGCAGTTTATGTCTTTAAACTCTTCTCAGAAGGTCGGCTTGGAGGCCAGCAGTTGCGTTTGGGCACGAGTCAGAGAACGGAAACCAGTGCTGGGCTGGGATCTACACACGTGGACAGGCCTGTGAGCAGCGGGGGTAGAGCCCGCGGTTCCCTGGGCGGGAGCAGGAGCAGGAACTGAGGCTTCAGGGGCTTGACGCAACCTCCTTTCCTTCTACACCTTCCACACACGAGCTGCTTGAGGGACTGCAGCGCGTGTGATACAAAGGGGAGCTGCACCTCAGCTCTGTCGCCTTTAGCCAGGGAACCCTCAGACACTGGCTTGTGTGAGGCTTCATTTTTTGTTTGCTACTTTTCTGTTTTTTTTTTTTTTTTTAAACATTTATTTATGTGTGTGTGTGTGTGTGTGTGTGTGTGTGGCCAGCTCCGCCCACCAGGGGGCGGGGCTGGCTGGCATGTGGTGCTGGAGGATTGAACCGCGGTCCCTGTGCTTTGCTAAGCTTGTTCCAAGTAGGTGCTTTAGACCACTGAGCCATCTCTCCAGCCCCTTTTCTGTTCTTTTGAGACAGGGTCTTACTATGAGGCTCAGGCTGCTCCCAAATTCACTGTGTAGCGCAGGCTGGTGAGAACTCAGTGACTTTCCTGCCTCAGCCTCCCGCACGCAGGGGTAGTAGGTGTGCAACACCCCACCTCGCTTTTTTCATCTTTTTTTTCCCCTGTGGTGCAGAAGATTGAATCCAGGGCAGCAGGCATGCCCAGCTTTTTTGCGTTCTTTTTCGCTTGTTTTCATGGCATTGTTAAATATTTTGACTCACTAAATATGTGGACTCTGAGGGGAGTGAGTTTAATTTTTGGCCTCTGGGAGGGGCTGGGTATGATGCATAATCAGTGCACTCTGTTAACGTTCCCGGTTTTCACACCTGCTCAGCCGGGTGTGCTCTCCGCCTCTGGGGACCTGTGGTTCGACCCTTTCGTTGCTGCTGACAGGCAGAAGCCGGGGATGGCCTTGGCTTCTCCTGGTGGCCTCTGGGCGCCAGGAGCTTGAGTGTCTCAAGACTCAGGCCTCAGGGTTTCTGCCTCAGACACAGGAGTTGCAGCAGCCGCCCTGTGTCTGTGGTCATTGTATATGTCACCTGGCACTGACACCCAGGTTTCCCTGTGTCCTGTTGGTGGTTGTGATTTTGAGGCAGGTCTTGATGTGCAACTCAGGCTGGTCTTGAACGGCTAGTGATTCTCCTGCCTCAGCCTCCCGAGTGCTGGCACCATGGGCGTGCAGCACTGCACCCAGCTTCTCTTTGTCCCTGCAAGTGTCGCTTCAGGAATCCACAAGGTGAAATTGTGTCCCTTCCAGGCAGCACTCTGCAAAGGCCGAATGTGCTGAAGGTGCTTCCTGGCCCACCTGCCTCCTTCTCAGGCTCCTGCTGGCATTAGGATTGCCTCCAGCCCTCACTGCCTTTTACCTCAACTAAGACAGAATCTTGCCTTTGAACACACAAGAGCATGGCGGGGCAGGCTGTAGCTTAGTGGTGAAGAGAGTGTTTATTAGCAAGGGCCAGGCCAAGAGGTCCAGGGCATTGAATTCAGGGCCTTTTTCCTGAGCGACATCCCCAGGCCTTCTTAAATGGTTTGATTTTGAGATAGAGTCTTGGCTGTTTGGCCCAGGCTGGGTTCAAACTTATAGTTCTTCCTGCATCAGCCTCCCAGAGTGCTGGGATTACTGGTAGGTACCACCGTGCCCAAGGGCAGCTTTGAGTCAAATAACCAAGATGCTAAAAGCACTCAGCAGCTGCCATGTCAAGTCTCATGCAAAGGGAGAAAACAGTTTTTTCTTTTTCTTTTCTTTTCTTTTCTTTTTTGAAAACAGTTTTTTCAAACTAGTAGTGGTGCACACATGTAATCCCAGCACTTGGGAGGCTGCGGCAAAGGATGGCGCTGATTTTGAGGCCAGCCTGAACTACATACAACTTTTTTGTCTGAAAAACAAATTGGGGAGGGGAGGGTTATAAGTTGGAATCTCAAATGGAAAGCTTTGTTGGGAGGAATTTGGGAAATTCTCAGCTCTGATTGAATTGAGGGCTGTGGGTAGGCCCAGTGGTAGACCAAGTACTTACCGTGCCAGGTGCCCTGGGTTTGAACCCAGCACCACTTGGGTATGCATGTGCACACGCACACACACAGCATTATGAGTTGAGGTTTTCTACACAGGGATGGAGCAGGCAGCACTGCAGACCCAGCATGACCCTAGCACAAGGGGACTGTGAATGGCGTGTACACTTCGCCTCCAGATAAAGGGCCTGTGTGTGTCAGGCAGTAAGCAACTCTGGAAGGTTGTAGGGGCCACTTCAGGGGCTAGGACTTGAAGGAGAAGGAGTTGATATCATTTGCTTTGAACCTCTGTGACATACTTTGGTGTTAATGACTTTTTAGGGTCTCTTGACATAGTTCAGGCGGGCCACATGAACTCACTATGGAGCCCAGGCTGGCCTTGAACCCAAGGCAATCCTCCTGCCTCGGCCTCCCAAGTGCTGGGTTCACAGAAGTATATTATCAGCAAAAGATTTGTTAAATATGTTTTTGCTTCAGTGTTCCTCTTAAGAAGTCCTATTTTCACTGTATTTTGAGACAGGGTCTTGTTAAATTTCCAAGGTGATACTCAGGTTTGTGATCCTCCTGCCTCAGCCTTCTAGAATGCTGCGATTATAGGTATGTGCCATTGCACCCTGGCCCTGTCTTCACATATACCAGAATTTGTCAAGCCCAACTATGCTGTCATTTGCCCAGATACTTTGTCTTGAGGCGCTTGTAAGACATTGAAGAGCGTCTGTCGTCTTGCCAGCCCAACCGCATATTCCCCCTGGGGACAGGCATGTTTTCCCTCATTTGAAAAGCACTGATTTGAGCCAGGCGTGGTGGCACACACCTGTAATACCAGTACTCGCAGAGGCTGCGGCAGAAAGATTGAAAATTTGAGCCCAGCGTGGGCAGTTTAGCAAGACCCTGTTTCCAAATTAAAAGTTTAAAAGGGGCTGAGCATAGAGCTCAGTGCAGAGGCCCCGGGCTCAACCCCTGTGAACACAAGCTAAGCACAGCGCAGGCGAGGTGCGCTTATGAAGTCCCCTGATGTCCTAGGCACCAACATCACAGTGTGTCCTCTAGACAGCCTCCTTGTGCCCTTGTTTGGTGCTAGCTTTCAAGTTGGGTTTGTCCTGTGTGTTGGGGTGAAAGGCCTGGCTCAGGCACGGAGAGCTTGTGGGGTTGGCGTGAGGTCAGTCAGTCAGTCGGTTATTTCTGGTTGGTTGGTTGTTCTTGTGGTCCTAGGAATTGAACGATAACCGCAAGCTTGCCAGGCAGGGGCTGTGTCACTGAGCTATATCCCTGGCCTATATCTTAGAAGGATCGTGTTTAGCTCAGAGGCCCATGCTGACCTCTGTCCTTGTCTCGTGTCCTGGTCTCATTGAGCTCAGTGCCTCGCCCTTCCTTATCAATACAAAGTCACCCAGTCTACAAAGCTGAGCCAGTGCGGAGTAAGGACGTGGAGAGCGTGGAGGCTCGGGCTTTGTGGCACTAAATGCTGGAACTTTGCTCTTTTCTAGATTATTTGAAGAATCTCTTAGAAGACTCTGCAGATTACAGAGACACTCAAGGTAAACACTTTGCAGTCTCAGATGGCCCAGAAATGTTTGCTTGATGTTGCTTTAGGTGAAGAAAGGAGAAGTATACCAAGCACAAAACCTAGAAACAAAATTCTGAGCTCGCTGGGCATGGTGGCACAGATGTGTCATCCCAGCACTCTGGGAGGCTGAGGCATAGAAGGCTGGGGTTTTGCATGGTGCAAAGCTCATGGATTCTGTCCTCAGTACTGCAGAGGGAAGAAAGCCTAACATCTCTCTCACACATCCATCCACTCTTCTGTTTTATTCATAAAAGAACATGAAGCTTTTTTTGGTAGGTAAATATTTATCTTTTTTTTTTCGGTACTGGGGATCAAACTCAAGACCTTGTGCTTGCTTGCCAGGGAGGCACTTATGTCACTGAGCTATCTCCCTGGCTCCAACATTCACATTTTTAAAATCATTTTTTTTTTAGTACATTTTAGATATCCGTAATGATCACATTCATCATAGAGGATGTGTGTCTTGGTACAGATAGAGCTTCTTTTTTTCCCCCAGTCCTTTCACCTCCCCATTCACAAAACTTTATTTCCATTTTTTTTTTTAATTTTTATTTATTTATTTGAGAGAGAGAGAGAGAGAGAGAGAGAGAGAGAGAGAGAGTGAGAGTGTGGCCAGCTCAGCCCACCAGGGGGCGGGCTGGCTGGCATGTGGTGCTGGGGGATTGAACCGCGGTCCCTGATGCTTTTGCTAAGCTTGTTCTAAGTAGGTGCTTTAGACCACTGAGCCATCTCTCCAGCCCTATTTCCATTTTTTTTCTTTACTCATTTCTTAATTTTTTTCCCTTCTTTCCTTTCCCCTCCCTCTCCCTTGTTACCCTGCGCACTTGAACATTTTCCTCCTGTCTCACACTACCCACTGTACGTTTGGCCTTTACTTATACTTTTCTTTTCTCATGCCAGAAAAAATGCAGTCTGGTGCGTAGGACACAGAGTTTAACTTTAAAAAAGGTGGTGCATACTTGTAATACCAGCTCTCGGGAGGAGGCAGGAGGATTTCTCCAAGTTCCAGGCCAATCTGAACTGTAGGGAAAAACCCTGTCTGGTAATTTTTTAAAGCAGATTAAAATAGAATTTGATAAAGTAGCAAATTAGTGCTGGGAGGCAGATGAAATTACAGGAGCAGTCTCTGTGGGCAGGCTCCGTGAGGATGAGGGTGAGCCCAGCGGCCTGCTCTGGAAGTTTCCCCCTCATTTACTGGGTCACTTTGAGCTGGGATGGATTCGTATTGTGTAAATGACCAGCTCTTCATCTTTGCAAAACAATGATTGAGCCGGCACAGTGGTGCACAGCCAGAATCTCGGCACTTGGGAAGGCTGAGGCAGGAGGATCCCAAATTTGAACCCAGTCGGGGGTTAACAACTTAGCAAGACCCAGTTTTCATGTAATGAAAGATAGTTGCGGGCCAGGGAGATGGCTCAGTGGAATAAGCGCTTGGGGCTTGAGTTCAATCCCCGGTTCTGAAAAAAAAAAAAAGAGAGATAGTTGCTTTATTTCTCTGAGTACCCATACTCTGCTTTTGAAGGTGTTATATCTACTGCTAATGAATCCTTCTTATATCTCAACATAAAAATAAAAAAAAATAAAAGGGCTGGGGGCTGGAGTTAGCTCAGTACAAAGGCTCTGGGTTCAGTCTCTAGTACTGCAAAAATAAGTTCAGAAGGTCATGGGGGCCAAGCAATGGCAGCATTAGGATTCGTGCACTTAGTGGAATCCAGATGCAGGAAAGTAGCAAATGTGTCCAGAGCACAGATGATAGGGCCGCATGCAAAGGTCCTGAGGGGGCGGGGTCTCCGTGTGGGAAACACTGCTCTCCTGTACTACTCCTTTGCTGGCTGCACACCTGTGATCTTGGCATCAGAGAGGGTGGCTGAGACAGGAGGGTCGCTGTAGGCTATGCCTGGGCCACATAGCAAGAACCTGTCTTTAAAAAAAAAAGCTAAATAATAATTAGAATGTAAGGGCTTAGTCTGATTCTAACAGGTAGTCACTCTGACCACTACAGGTGTCATCCTGTGTGTCTGCATGTCCCTTTCTGTCCAGTTCCAGAGGGGTTAGCGTGGAGCATTTGGAGACACTGCTGGGCCAGGGCTGAGGAGGAAGCTGCTCATCCGTGCGGCCACAGTGCTCAGTGCGTGGTGACCCTGAGTCTCCTTGGGCCTCGGCATGGCCTTGCTCACCTTTCTAAACTGCACCTACTAGCATCAGAGTAGGAGTGATGCTGAATCCTAGCTGTTTTATGTTTTTTAGTTTTATTTCATTTTAATTTTACTTAGTTGTGGTTTTTGAGACAGGATCTTTTGTGTAGTCTAGGCTGGTCCCAAGCTGCAGCACCTCCTGTCTCAGCCTCCCCAGTGCTAGGATCACCATTGTGTACCATGCCGCTGACCCGGCTCATTTCACACTGTTCTTGTTTCTTGTATCAAGATGCTCCTTTCTCGTGACCCTTCTCCCAGAGACAGTTTATACTGGGATGGCTTACCTGCAGGGAAAGAGCCACTGTGACCCTTGTTAACCTTGGACCGAATGAGCTGCACACCCCTGCCCATGGTAGACGAGGCCAGCAGCAACTCTTGGGGCTCATGTTCTCTGCTTTTCCCTGATCACATCTCACCGAGCTTTAGCATCCACAGCTCAGGGTAGTTGACAAATAACCTTGTCAGAAACTGCCTGTGTCACAGTAGTAGTAACCAGGTCCCTTCTCTCCCCACGTCCTCTAGATGCCCTTGCTGTGGTGATTGAGGTGGCCAACCACGCCAATGACAGCATGAAGCAGGGCGTGAGTATTGGGCATTTGGGGGCAGAGGCGCCATAGAGCGGGAGCTGGGTCCGGCCTGATGCTCATCTCTGCACAGGACAACTTCCAGAAGCTCCTGCGGATCCAGTACAGCCTGAGCGGGCACCAGGAGATCCTGCAGCCGGGGCGGGTAGGTGCTTCCCACAGCCCTGTGAGAGGATCACTGCCTGCAGGCGCCATCTGTAGTGTTTATTTTAGTTAGGAAAGTAGGTTCCTTGTGGCCATGTCCATGTGGGGGCGCACGCTTGTGATCCCAGCACTTGGAGGCTGAGGTGGGAAGATCAGCTGCCAGGAGTTCAAGGCCAGCCTGCACTACATAGTGAGTTACTGTCTCAAAAGAAAGTTGGAAGACAGATATGACGAAGGTCACTGTGACAAGTCTAGTTCAGTTAGGAGAAAGGCCAAGGGTCTCACAAATTAAATGGTTTAATACCATCATTTTCCTGTGGGATACTAGCTGGCCTCGTAAAGCTCTGAATGCCATTTCATTTAAAGTCTATAGCATGGGAAGGTCATGGAGGGAGAGACTATGTTTTGATATTACCTCCTGAGAGCACAGAAGTGCCCCTGGGAAAGAACCGAGGAAGATGCCAGAATGATGCCAGAATTGAGGACACTGTGTCCATAGAGGACCCTGCAGCCAGTATTGGCTTTGTAGTCTTTCTGTCCACAGTTTTCAGATGAGTTATGAGGCTTCAAAAGAAGCTGGAGGTGCCAGGTGTGGTAGTGACCCTAGAACCCCAGCTTTGGGGAGGCTGCAGCAGGGGAATACAGGGAATTAGAGGCCAGCTGGGCTCCATAGTAAGTTAAGGCAGCCTGGACTACAGAGTGAGCCCCTGTCTCAAAAACCAAAAAAAAGAAACCCAGGGGTCCTAGGAGCAGTGCTGGCGCTGTCGCATTCGCTTAGCTGCTGGGAGGTCCTGGGCTCTGTATGCAGCACCATGCCCAGGAGAAGAGAGGAAAGAAAAGGAAACCGCAAGCCATGCCAGACAAAGGCATGAGGAAGCGCTGACCCCATGGCCACCACCATAGAAAGAACCAGGTGAGGCTGCCAGGAAGGGGCTTCTGCATGCACTGAGGCAGCAGTGGTGGTGGCAGTCTCAGGCTCCGTCTTGGTCTCAGGTGCAGGGCAGTGTAGGAATCATTTGGTTTCTCAGTGTGGTCTGTTGTACCCAGGAAGAAAATGGTGGCAAGAATGAGAAAAAGACAAGAAGACAAGAGCTGGGTTAGGTGGTAGCCCATCTGCTTGGTTGGCCAGAAGACTCCCCAAGCAACAATATGGACATTTATTTATACCTTTGCAAAGTTAGTAACCCGTGATGCAGGGTTGCCTAGTGACTAACAGCCCACCCTGTCCAGGCAGGGTGTTTTTCTCAAGACTGAGGTAGCTTGACTGCAAAGGTAATGAGGCTGCATCCTGCCCTCCCACACAGGATCGATTTCAGCTTCAGGGGCCCCCAACAGGGCTGGGTCTTGGGTGTGAGACTGATGTGTCTTTCTTGGGCCAGGTTTTCCTCAAGGAAGGTGTCCTGATGAAGCTGTCTCGGAAGGTCATGCAGCCTCGCATGTTTTTTCTGGTGAGACCTCAGAGTGTTCCTCTGGGGCGGTGTCCATGGGCTGGCTTGGGCCAGGTTCAGATCCACCTTCAGGGTATCAGGCAGAGGCCAGAGCAACCAGGGCCAGCACACTGTACAATCAGAAAAGCCAGACCTCTGGGGGATCCAGTTGGCTGCCTCTCAGGTTGTAAGACTTGTTTGCTGCAAGTCCTCATTTAGGCAGACCTGACACTGTGGTGGGATTTAGAATTCAGAAAATGCTGAATCTGTTACAGACCTTGGAAAAGAAGGGCATGGTCAGGAAACTGCCTTTTTAATATTAGTCAGAACCAAAAAAAAAGAGGATGATTAATATTAGTCAGAACATGTGAGGTGCTTCTTGTGGAAATGAGGAAATGGAAGTATCTTCTTCAGGGAGCTGTTAGCCAAGGCAGCATCTTCCTTTGTGCTTGTATTTTGTCAGTGTCTGTGATGATGAGCCGGGCAGTGGCACATACCTGTAACCGTAGTGATCAGCAGGCACAGGCAGGAGAATCACTGCTAATTTGAGGCTGGCCTAGGCTGCATAGTGAACCCACGACTCAAAAAAAATTGACAGGTGCCAATAAGAGTTTCTTCATGTGACCGTGCAGTGCTTCTCCTTGCAGTTCAGCGATGTCCTGCTGTACACCACGCCGCTGCAGTCGGGAACATACAAGCTCAACAACGTGCTCTCCTTAGCTGGCATGAAGGTCAGTGCATTCGCCATGTTCTGTCCTCCTTTCACCCAAATATGTGAACGTACTGACCGTGGAGAGGAAGCCCTGTGGTGATCGCGGCTCTCCCGGCCTTTTCTCTTTAGATGCTATTGCTCATGCGTGTGTTTATTCATATGATTTCTTCCTTTATTCAAAGCACTCATTTATTCAAAGCAGACTTCCAGTTACAAGAATAACTGTAAGCAGAACATGGTTGTAAACTTGGTGAAAAATATGAGAACAACTGGAAATAATTCTTTTTGGCTAGTTGGGAGTCTAATACACTGTAGATAAATATGTGTGAATAGACCGTAACAAAGGTCACCATAAAACAGCTGGGCATGGTGGTGCTGCACACCTATAATCCAGTGCTCAGGAAGCTGAGGGAGGAGGGTCCCAGCAAGTTACAGGCCAGCCTGGACTACATGTGAGACACTGTCTCAGAATAGTAAAAAAACAACCACTGTAATGACAGTGTTTAGTTCCTGGGAACTTTGGAAACAAGAATGCCAAGCTCTTGGAGAGAGTGCATACAGTTGCTGATGGACAGCTGGGGAAGAGGAAGTGAGGTATGTGGGAGGAAGAGGCAGTGATCCTTGAACAGAGTTGCCTGGCTGGAGGTCGCTATGACCTTTGACCTGCAGTGCAGTGCAGTGGGAAGCTGGCAGTGTGGCCTTCACAGGTGTGAGATGGTGGGGAGCTGGAGAGTGGCAGTGACTGTCTCCGTGACTCAAAGCTGGGCTGTGCTGGGATGCGGCTCCTCCAACCCGAGTGCTTTCTTCCAGGTCACAAAGCCCGGCCAGGAAGCCTATCAGAATGAATTAAAGATCGAGAGTGTGGAACGCTCCTTCATTCTCTCAGCCAGGTATGTCTGTTTATGTGAGACAGGGTCTTTCTGCAGGTAAGCCCCACTTGAACTCTCCATGGAGCCAGAGCCCTGGCTGGCCAGAACCCAGGGTGGGTGTTTCTCCTGCCTCAGCTTCCCGGAGGGCTGGGATCACAGGTGCGCGCCACCATGCCCAGCCACCGTGTAGATTTTGGTCTTTAGCTTAGGAGCCACAGGAAGGGTGCAGCCAGAGGATCTCCTGTCACATGCCATGTGTTTTGATGCCGAGCTGAGGCAGAGGGATCCTGTGAATTGAAGCACTCTGTCCTGCAGAGGAAGGAAGACAGGGCTGACTGCTGCTTTATCTGGGGAGGTTGTGGGTGCTGAGCCGACCCCTTGCAGAGGGCCCTGGGGGCCCCCACTGCAGGCTGCAGCTTGGCTGCGGTTTGCAAAGGCAGCTGCCGAATGCCAGTTTGGCAGTGACCTGCATGAACTTGAGCAGGAGCCCTGAGCCCCAGAATGGCACCTGTGATAGGGCCCACTTGCAGAGTCGTGTTCCCTACATGGCCCAGGCTCTCAGTGTGCAGCTGCCACTCCCAGTCAGCCATCTGCCCTCGCCCCGTGCAGCTTCTTCCAGGAAACTGCAGGGAGGCTGGGAGGGCAGTAGAGTTTCCTGAGTGTTGGCCTGAAAGCTGGAAATGAACACCAGGTAGGCATGGTGGAGCACAACTGTAATCCCAGTACTCGGGAGGCTGAGGTAGGAGAATCTTAGCACATTTGATGCCAGCCTACATAGTGACTTAGTGAGACCCTGTCTCAAAATAAAAGCTCAAAAAGAGCTCGGGATGCAGCTCAGTGTGAAGGCTGTTAGAACAGTAGACGACATTAATGTAGGTTTGGTTCTTTAGTTTTTGTTCTACCTCTGTCTATAGGAACAGATTTCCTGAAGAGTGCTTGAATAGCCACAGCCACTTAATAAAGAATACATTTCTGAGAATTATTGTAGTGAGAAAGTGTTTTCTAGTATCTTCTTGATATGCTTACTAGTCAAGGTGGTGCTCACCTGTGATCCCATTGCTTGGGAGGCTGAAGCAGGAGGATTGCTAGTTCAAGGACAGCCTGGGCTATATCGAAAGACCCTGTCTCAAAACAAACCCACTGATCAGGGACCAGGAACTAATAAGTAACTTAGTGGCATGGCGCTTGCCCAGATGCCTAATCCCGCACAAGGCCCTAGGTTGGATCCTGGCATTACAAAGTGTGTTATGTACCATTATGGTGGACTTCTTTTGTCGTGGAGGTGGTCCTAGGGATTGAACCCTTGATCTCATGCCTACTAGGCAAGTGCTTTACTACTATGCTGCAGCTTCTGCCTATTAAGGATTTTTTTTTTTTTTTTAAAGATATGGTCTCACTATTTGTATTTAGTTCAGTTTAGCTTTAAACTCACTGTGTAGTTCTGAAATTTGTGTTGATCCACTGCCTCAGCCTCCTGAGTGCTGGGACTACAGGCACATGCCACCACACTTGGCTCTGTTAAGAAAATTTTTATATTTAAAATTACTAATAAAAATTTAAAAAAAAATTCAGCTGGGCATGGTAGCACAGGCCTGTAATCCCAGCCCATGGAAGGCTGAGGCAAAAGGATTGCCAAGAGTTGAAAGACAGCCTTGGCCATATAGTGAGTTCAAAGCCAGTAAACAAATAGTGAGTTTTAAGTAAATAGCGAGACACCATCTTATATGAAACAATAAAGTCACGTGAAGCACATAGTCCATCAGATGCCAGAGTCATTAAGCACCAGGATTTCTTCCTGCTACATACTTAAGGGCTCCACTCTAAAAAGTCCTTTTCTCGCAGTCACAGTCCCATCGTGATGGATTTAATTTCGTTTTGTTAAAGTCTCTCACTCACACCCTCTGCGTCTTCGAAGGTTTGTGTAGAGATGTATGTATTTTTCTGTATTTCTGTTACCTGAAGTGGTGCCTCTCAGTTTTGAATGTGCAAAACACAGCAGCCCATAAATGTACAGCAATGGTTAGGAGCTCCCGTGGATTTTGAAGGAGAGGCCTGGTCACAAAAATGCAAAACAAGCTGAGCCCTGTGGTACACAGCTGTAGTCCCAGCACTCTGGGAGGCTGGCGCAGGACAATTGCAGGTTCATACCAAGCCTGGTCAGTTTAGTGGCTCTGCAAGACCCGGTGACAGTAAAGGAAGGGCTGGGGTGGAGGGCAATGAACAGGCTGCTGGTTCACTCCCAGTTCAGCACAAAAAAAAGACGGAGCAGGTGTACCATTTGGGGGACACTTTTCACTTTTTGGTTTATTTCCCTTCAAGTCCAGCTAAAGACATCTACAAGCAGAGTAGAACAAAACCTCTGTGGGCTGAGAGGGCAGCGAGGCCTCACCGTATCACTACCAGGCAGGCTGCTTCCCTTTTAACCACACCTTCCACATCTGTTTGGTGACACTAGACAGATGTCCACCTCACTGTCCCTTCTAGAAGTTTTTAGTAATAGTGATCTAAAGATGCTTAGAATGCTATGCTCTGAGCTGGAATTTGTAACTTGGGTCTTACAGTATTTCTAAATTCTGAGAGTATGTCTTAGGGAAACCTTTGATAATATAAATGCTCAGACAATCATGAACCACAAACCAAATAAAAAGACCCATAAATGTAGCAGCCCTTGGTGTCGCCTTGTGTCTACTCCATAATGATTACATCACTATGCGGAGGGTCCACACAGTGACATTTCTGAATTCTTTTTTTTTTAATGCTTCCCCTCCGCTCCCTTCCTAAGTGGAGAGGAAGCGGTCGCTGTCCAAAGCGTGCTAGTCTGGAAACGGAGGAGGGGTTGAGTGTGCTAAGCCTCTGGCTTCGTGTTGTCACCTGCTGAGAACACTGGCCCTGGAAGCCAGGGGAGCACTGCCACGGAGGAGGGTGGGGACAGAGGCAGAGCCAAGGTCAGCTCTGCCTCACAGGCCCCCTTTTACCCTGCAGCTCTGCCTGTGAGAGGGACGAGTGGCTGGCAGCCATCTCTGGGGCCATCGAGGAGCATGCCAAGAAGAGAGTCACCTTCTGCCCTGGTAGGAGCCTTGAGGAGGTATTGTTTTTCTTTCTGTTTTTCCCAGTGCATTTCCAATAGCTTTTACCTCAAAGAGCCTTCTCTTGGGGATTAGGAGAGCAGTATGTGTTTCAGAGGAGCGAGGAGGTGTGTGTCTGATCTCAGAGCCAAATATTTATCCATCTATAATGTTTGACTGTGAGTCTGTTTTGTTGTTTGAGGGATGTAAGACAGGGTCTCGCTGTGTAGCCCAGGCTGCCCATGAACTCACCTGGATCCTTCTGTCTCAGCTTCCCGAGCCCTGGGTCCCCTAGTATGCTTCACCAGGCACAGCATATAACTGTAAGTCTGGGAGAGCACATAGCCTACCCATACTTTTCCCAGCTATAAAACTTTATGTAAGGGGCCGGAGAGATGGCTCAGTGGAATAAGTGCTTCCCTGGCAAGTGCAAGGGCCCGAGTTCAATCCCCGGTTCTGCCCCAAAAAAACTTTACGTAAGGCTGGGCATAATGTTGTACTCCTATAATCTCGGTGCTTAGAAGGCTGAGGCAGGAGAATCATTGCAAATACAAGACCAGCCTGGGCTACATGATGAGCTCAAGACCAGCCTGAGCTGCATAGTGAGATTCTGTCTCAAAAACAAAAGAGCTGTATTATAGTTGGGTGTGTGGCACATGCCTCTCACCCCAGCTCTCTGGGAAGCTAAGGCAGGAGGATTGAAAGGTCAAGCCCAGTGGGAGAAATGCAGCATGACTCCATCTCAAAATTTTCAAAACAATAATAAGGGCCTATAGATATAGCTCAGCGTGAAGGTCCTGGGTTCAAGCCCCCAGGGCCAAAAAAGAGGACATCATTCTAACTGGGTATGGTGACGTGCACCTCTAGTCCCAGCACTTGCGAAGCTGCAACAGGACAACTGAGTTGAGCTGAGTGCAGCTTGGGCTACAGTGTGAGTTTCTGACTCAAAAAACAAAGCAAAATGAAACTTCACTGTGGAGTCATATTTGGGAGGGCTGTGGCGTACAGCCAGGGCCTTCACACCAAACAAGATGACCAGCCTCTTTCAAGTTTTTATTTCAAGTCAAGGCCCTGCTTGGTTGTCCAGGCTGACCCCAAACTTGGCAATCCTGCTGCCTCAGCTCCTCAGGTAGCTGGGATTACAGGCGTGTGGCTCCACACCTCATGTGTGTCTTCCACGCAGAGGCTGGAACCCACCCCCTCGTCCTGCCAAGCACGGGGTGTGGCGCTGAGCTCCTCCCAGCCCCTGTGCAGGGAACTGAGGGCCTAAGGAAAGTTTGCAGAAGAAACCCATCCAGTGTGTCTACTATCATAGGCATCTTTTCTGGTGGTTTTTTGTTTGTTTTTTGGTTTTTTTCCTTGAGACAAGGCCTCTCTGTATTCTAGGCTGGCCTTGAACTCTCAGTGATCCTCCTACCTCAGCCTCCTTAGTGCTGAGATGACAGGCGTGTGCTGCCACGTCCGGCACTTCTTCTGGAGTCAGTTTTCCAGCAGAGGATTTTTTTGGAGTGCAGCTAACCTTACAACCCTGAGGACATGAGAACTGTAGTAGCCCATAATCCCCCTCTTGTAAGACACCCTGCCAACTGAGGACTGGATTCGGCTGCAGATGGTGTGGACCCAAGTAACAGAGCCATTCTCTTCCTGCAGGCTGACCCAGAGAGAAAGGAAGACGCGCCTCCCTTGGGCTCCAAGGCGCCCATCTGGGTTCCAGACACCAGGGCCACCATGTGCATGGTCTGCGCCAGGGAGTTCACGCTCACCTGGAGACGACACCACTGCCGCGCCTGCGGGAAGGTCAGCCAGCTCCCAGGTGGTGCTGTCACCTGTGCCACACACGCTGAGGGGCTTTGGCCCCAGATGCCACTCTTAATAATGAGAGTAAGGTGGGAAGACAGGCAGGGTCTGACAATGTACTCCTGTAATCCCAGCACTCGGGAGGCTGAGACAAGATTACCAGGTATTTAAGGCCAGCCTGGGCTATGTAGTGAGATCTTGTCTTAATCCCCCCCCCCCCCCAAAGCAAAGACAGTGATGATGGCCGATACAGCCTAGAGGCCTTGGCTTGCAGGACGTTGTTCTGAACCTTTTGTGCATGACAGTTCTCTGCCCATGATATTTTATGTAGGAAGCACTTAGTCGTAATTGGTACCTCATCCTGTAATTGCATTTCTCGTTAGTTTTCTTAACCTCTTCCTCTTCAGGCGTGGTCCTGAGTGTGACTTTACTCCATGCCGGAACCCCACAGCTTGAGCCCTAGTGTGTGGGAAGCTGCTGGGAAACTCAGACAGTGCTTCCGGCTCTACTGAAGTGACTGCAATGTGTTTCAGGTCGTATGCCAAGCCTGTTCCTCAAATAAATATGGCCTAGATTACCTGAAAAACCAACCTGCGAGAGTATGTGAACATTGTTTCCAAGAGCTGCAGAAACTAGGTAATATATCAATAAAGCCTGCATCAAAATTGCTTTTTTCCCCACATGCTTTCCAGTAGCCTCCTGTAACCTCAGCACATGGAAGGCTGAGGCAGGAGGATCGCTGTCAGTTCGAGGCCAGCCTGGGCTACCTAGTGAGTTTAAGGCCAACCTGAATTGTATATTGATACCCTATCTCAGGAAGTAAAAAAAAAGAAAGAAAGAAAGAGAGAGAGAGAGAGAGAGAGAGAGAACTAAACAGCCTTCTGAAAGAATCATCTTTGGTAGATTAGCAAGAGCTTTTAGATGCTTGGCTCAAAATTAGTGCTAAGCTTTGTTAATGTGGCTTTGTGGTGATTCCAGGAGAAACTGGACTGCATTTTGTTTTTGTTCTCTGAAAGGTTTGCTAAGAAAACTAACAAGAAATGTAATTACAGGATGAGGTGCCTAAAGCTGCTCACGGGGAACTTGAGCGCTTCCTCGCAATCGCCAGGTTTCCAGTTTACCACAGAAGTGCATTCATGGCAAACCACTCTGTATCCACTGCCAAGTCCTTCTGTATGGAACAGACATGGTGGGACTTGGCCCAGCTAGTGGCATCTCACTGCATGCTTAAAAGGTGTCTCTTCTGGGAGAGACTCAGCATGGCGTTTCTTACCCACAGAGTTCTCTGCTGGCTTCCCACAGGGAAAGTAATTGGGCAAGAACTGCTCGTGTCTGGTGGGAAGGAATTTCCGGTTAAATCTCTGAAACATAAGACCTGAATTTTAAAAAGAAGTCAGGTGGGATGGGGCATACCTATAATCCCAGCACCCAGGAGGCCGAGGCAGGGGGATACAATATAGTTCAAGGCCAGCCTGGGCTACACAGTAAAGTCTTGGCCTGCCTGAACAGCATAGCAAGGCCCCGTGTAAAAGAAAAAACAGTTCCAAAAGCATAAATGCATAGACCCTGTTGGCAAGGCTCCGCCTCTCAGCTTGTGGCTATCATTTGTGTTCTCAGAGCTGGTGTCATCCAGCTTGTGTGTCTTGAGTTTCCTTCTGTGGCTGATCTGCATGTAGTCCTTGAACTTGAGCCCCGCGGACAGGCAGGCGCTTCTACCCATGTGGAGTGTTTCCCGTGCCTTCCAGGCCAGCAGCACTCCCCAAGGCCCGGCACCCCCGGAAGCCACAAGTCTCCATCAAGTGCCTTGACATCTGTGCTGCAGTCCATCCCCTCTGGGCGGAAGCAAAAGAAGATCCCTGCAGCTCTCAAAGAAGTAAGTGCTCCCCACGGCCACACTGTCCCTGTGTTCGCAGCCCTGTCCTGCGGGAGGATGACCTTCGTAGAGGGACATCGAGGGAGAGACGAGGCATCTCTCATTTAGAAAAGGTTTGGGCAACCACTGTATAGCACTGATAGAAAGGGAAGATCGTTGCGCACCCATAAATATTTGATTTTTGTTTTGGAGATAGGATCTCTTGGGGCCGGGGAGATGGCTCAGTGGAATAAGTGCTTCCCTGGCCTGAGTTCGATCCCTGGTTCTGCCAAAAAAAAAAAAAAAAGAAATGTATCCCAGGCTGGTCTGGAACAGCTGGGATTTATAGGTGTGCACCACCACACCCAGCTGACCTATGAATTTTTTCAAAACTACTTCCAGGAGACACCTCACTTAAGGAAAGAAGTCCATGGAGTGTTTTTGGCATTTCATTAGCATTTACAGATCTGCACATTTGTTATTTGTAGATACCAATTGGTTATGACAGCAAATATTGACAGTAGGTTGTCTGTGTTTTTGTTTTACTTTGTTTTGCAGTCCTGGGGATTGAGCTCGGGGCCTTGACCTAGCTTTTTAAGACAGGATTTCTTGAAGTCAGACAAGCTGGACTTGAACTTTACGCCCTCCTGCCTCAGCCTCCCAGCACGCTGGGATTGCAGGCACGTAGCACCATGCCTAGCTCTTGTTTTTCTTTTTACCTTAAGGTCTTCGCGGTACTGGCCTGCAGGTGTAAGCTGGCTTGTGCAGTTGGTGCGCAGTGAAGTGGATGCCCCACTCAGCCCCTGCCCTTTCACCTCAGGCACGGCGGTGGTGGGTTGTGCGGTGCTACCATGCTGGCCCTTTTGGGGGACTGTTCCTTTCTGCTCAGTCCGGGCTGCGCTGTCAGCCCAGCCACTCCAGCTCAGAGATCTCCCACCTCTGCCTCCAGAAGCTGTGCTCAGCTCTAAACAGGGTTTTTCATTTTTCTGTTCTTTTTCTTTTTTTCTTTTTTTTTTTTTTTGAAACGGGGTCAGACTGACACATTGTTTAGTTCAGGCTGGAACATTGATCCTCCTGCCTCAGCCTCCCAAGTGCTAGGATTACAGGTGTGCAACACTACACCCAGCTGAATCTCTAGTTTCATTACCGTGGAGGGCTTTATCAGACAGAGTGAGGGTGAATGACTCAAAAATTTTGACCAAACTCATGTTTATGTTCCCAGCTGACATCATGTGAAATAAATTTCACAAAACAGTGAGAATAAAATTTACAAAGTTCCAGTTGCAGAGTTGTGAGTGAAACAAGTGAAGCCAACTTGGTCGGCCCCTGGGACCTGCTCTTCCTCCCTCAGTTCCCCGATATAAGTCTACATTCATAAGGCTGAGGCTCTTGCCTGAAGCAGGGGTGCCCCTCCAATCAAGCTACTGAGGAGGCTGACGAGGGTAGATGCTGGAGCACTCAGCCAGCGCGAAAGATTTCCAGCTCTTAGAACAGTTGATAAAGGCCCACCGCTCGGGTATCCTAGGCTGAGGCAGGAGGATCGCTGTAACGGTGATGCCAGCCTGAGCTACTGAGTAACTTAGACACTGTCTCAGACTAAGACATGAAAAATGGGCTGGCTTCTAGCTCTGTGTGGAGTGAAGGTGGGATTCAATCCCTACTACCAGGAACACTTTTAATTAATTCAATTAAAGAATAATAATTTTTAGAAAAGTGTTATAGGTTTTGAGTCAGTTTTTTCTTCTACAAAAACAGAACAGCCCAGCATGCTGGCACAGGCTTGTAATCCTAGCACTTAGGAGGTTGAGGTAAAGGAATTGCCATGAGTTCGAATCCAGTCTGGGATACATCATGAGACTATCTTAAAAAAAAAAAAAAAAAGAGGGCCGGAGAGATGGCTCAGTGGAATAAGTGCTTCCCTGGTAAGCACAAGGACCTGAGTTCAATCCCCGGTTCCGCCCCCCCCCCCAAAAAAAAAAAGAAAGAAACCAGAAAACAGGGCCGGAGAGATGGCTCAGTAGAATAAGCACTTCCCTGGCAAGTGCAAGGGTCTGAGTTCAGTCCCCGATTCCACCAAAAAAAAAGAAAGAAAGAAAGACACCAGAAAACAGAAACACATATACACACACACATAGAAACCCAGGTAAGCCAAATAAAGCCCCCAAATTTCTTCAGCAGATTTCAGTCTATAGTGTATTCGTCATAAATACTCCCTCAGCTGGGCATGATAGCACATGCCTGTAACCCCAGCACTGAGGAGGCTGAAGCAGGAGGATTGTTTTGAGTTTGAGACCAGCCTGGGCTACAAAGTGAGCTCAAGACCAGCCTGAGCTGCATAGCAAGACTCAAAAAAGAAAACCCTCCCTTCTTGCACTTACTGCTCTCTGCACCCTCCCCCACAAGCAGCAAGTGGCTCAGCCGGCGCTGCCCTTGCTCAGGCCGCTGCCCTGTCCTTATAGGTGTGGGCCAGCACGGAGGATTCCACCATGAGTGGCTACCTGCACCGGGCCAAGGGTGCCCGCAAGCCCTGGAAGCACCTGTGGTTTGTCATCAAGAACAAAGTACTGTACACATATGCGGCCAGCGAGGTAGGGACCAGAGGTGGGCCAGGGAGGGCTGGCGGAGCTGTGTCTGTTTCATTGCTGTGGGTCTGGGGTTTGCTTTTATTTAGTGGCCCTGGGGATTCAGCCTGGGACCTTGTGCCTGCTGGGCAAGCCCCCCACGCCCCAGCTCCCTAACTGGCTGCTGTGGGAGGGGGTGACATTGTCGTTGTTAAATCTTATTTGAATAATGTTCTCGCTTTAGACCTGGAGAGCTCTGCCTCAAGTGCATTAGGAATTTCCCTTTTTCTTTTATCTTTTTTTTAGACAGGATCTCTATATGTAATTCAGGCTAGCCTTGAACTGTGTGTAGCCCAGGCTAACACCCTCACGGCCATCCTCCTGCCTCAGCCTCCTGAGACTGGGATTGCTGGCACTATGGAGGCTGAGTCAAGAGGGTTGTGGTTTTCTATCCTATTTGATCCTGTGTTTCCAGCAGTCTATGAAAACTGGGGGAAGCTGATCCTTAGCTGGCTCCCACTAACGTTTCTAATGGAAACCATGGCGTCTCTGGGGTTGTAGTAGAATTCACGCAAGCTTCAGTGGCTATGAGCATGGAGACAGCTGGCCCCCGGGGCGTCTGGTGGTGGGGCCGGGGTGTGACTGTGAGTGAATGGCTGAACAGTGCCTGTGCTGTTTGAATGCTGATGTCACAGCTGTGCCAATCCCAAGGCCCAAGTGTCACCATGACCGAAACTGGTGTCTTTAACCCCAGGACGTGGCGGCGCTGGAGAGTCAGCCTCTGTTAGGATTTACAGTCTCCCAAGCCGGTGATGAGGGCGCGGACCCGAGAGTGTTCCAGCTGCTGCACAAAGACATGGTGTTCTATGTTTTCAAAGCGGAGGACGCACAGTCAGCGCAGAAGTGAGTGACATAAACCCAAGCTTCCAAGTTGGGCTTTGATTTGTATTTTTTTTAAATTTCTTGGCACCAAACCCAGCGTCATTGCATTGGCCTTCACCTCCAGCCCTTTTTATTGTATTTATTTATTTATTATTTATTTATTTAGTGAGACAGTGTCTCACTACATAATTTTGGCTGGCTTTGATTTTCCTCTAAACTCACATTGATCTTCCTGCCTCAGCCTCCTAGGATTACAGGTGTGTGCCACCGTGCCTGATCCATAATATCTTATTAAAAGAAATCCTACTTCAGTAAGGAAGGAATGCCTGTATTAAGTTTCTACAACAGACAATTTGCAAGGTGGGATAGGGCTGCCCCCAGGCATCTTCTGAGTAGTCTCTCTGTCAATGTTAGATGGAAACCTCAGACCAGAGAATCTTGGAGGCTGGCAAGATAGCTCAGCAGACTAAGCACCTGCTTAGGCAAGCACAGGGGTCAGGGCTCAATCCCTGCCACCACATGCAGTGCTGGTCCCGCCCCTGGGCATGCTGAGCTGGCCACTGAGACTGGGTGTGGTGGTGCACACCTATAAAATCCCAGTGCTGGGGATGCTGAAAACAGGAGGATCACTACAAATCTGAGCTGCATAGTGAGACCCTGTACCGAATACATTAAAAATTTTTTAAAAATTTAAAAGAAAAAAAAAAAAGGATCTTAGAAAGACCTCTGTGCCTCTGTGTTGTTTTTGTTTTTTTTGCGAAACTGGGGATTGAACTCAGGCCCTAGTTCTTGCCAGGCAAGTGCTTATTCTGCTGAGCCATCTCCCCGGCCGCTGTACCTCTGTGTTGTTTCCAAAGCAGATGGATTGCATGGGAGGTTTTACCTGTCAGGAGTAGACTAAGTGCCAGGGGGAGACCCTGTAATCAAAATACTAGTGTAGATCCAGACTCCAGGTTCCAGCAGGACCCTCAAGCATGTGAAGCTCAAGGGAGAGGAAAAGGCACACAGCAAGTGTCCCCAGAAGCACTGTGTCAGAAGCCTGGAAGGAGAAGAGTTGCCGGAGAGGTCTCTTCTGATTGATTTATTTATTTTGGTGCAGCACTGGGGTGTCAACCCAGGACCTTGCTACTGAGCAATACCTCACACCCTTTTTTATGTTGAGATAAGTCTTGCTAAATCGCCCAAGCTGGGTCTGAGCTTGTACACCTTGTAATTCTCTGCCTCAGCCCCCAGAGTGATGGGATTGCAGGTTTGCATCTCTGAGCCCAGCTAAAGGTCTTTAACTGATAGTAACCACTTCCACAGCCAATTAAATTGGAGGGTCAGGACTTCATAGAACGTTTACACGTCAAACAGTCCCTCCCTCATGCCACACAGAAATAAAGGTACGCTTTCTAGATCAAATTTTAGGAAAAGGTGCTCTGTGCATGTGAGGCTTGCAAGTCACTCTAGGAAACGCCTTCTGTGTGCTGTTCGAGTAACTGGGGTACGGCCGCAGCACCCACCAGATGCCTGCGCTCTCAGTGCTGCGTCCCACTCCCCTAACGGGTGTCTCTGCTCCGCAGGTGGATAGAGGCGTTTCAGGAAGGCACCGTGTTATAGCAGCGTGGCGGTGGAATTTCAGCAGGATGGAGCAAAAGCAGAATTTTATAAAAATAAACACTGCCAAGATAAATCAAACCAGACTCTTTTTCAGGTATCTCAGATATAAGAAATTATTTTGTTAGATATAAGTAGTTTTGTACAAAAAAAAAAGTTTGCTTTTTCATGTATTTTATTTATTAAAATTGTAATGTTTACTTAATGGTCAGAGTATTTCTAAGTCTCACACTGAATTCTAAAGTACCATTTCCTCAGCAGAAAATTTACATTTTTCTATGTAACTATTCATGACCCAGCCCACACCACATTCTCTGCCTTACCTTGTGACATTTCTTACTAGTTGTGAATCTTTGTAAGTGAAAAGCACATACAAAAAGCAAATTTCAGTGCAGGACCTGGTTTAGAAATTATGATCATTGCAGACGTAATGGCACAGGCCTCTTGTAATCCTAGCATTTGGGAGGCTGAGGCAGGAGGAACTCCTGAGTTTAAGGCTGGCCTGAACTACATAGCAAGACCCTGTCTCAAAACCAAAAATCTGGAAAGAAAAAGAAATTATGATTAGTATAAAAGTGCTGAATAAAGTTTATCTTTGAGTGGGCTGGGGGGATAGGTCAATGACCTAAGTGCCTGCCTGGCAAGTGCAGGGTCCTGAGTTTGATCCCTGGTACTGCAAGAAAGAAGGAAAGAAAGAAAGAAAGAAAGAAAGAAAGAAAGAAAGAAAGAAAGAAAGAAAGAAAGAAAGAAAGAAAGAAATAGATATAGAGATCTCTATATATAGATATAGATATAGATATATAGAGATAAGCTTAGAAAATTGTTCTATTTTTTTAATGGAAACACATATGGCCAGCTTCTACCTCAGTAACTGTGAAACAAAATTTGAGTCAGTATCTAATTATTTCTTGATGTGCCTCTTCTGGCTTACATTAATGTCACATCAAAGAATTAGAGCAAAGGGATAGAAATCTGTCTTGTTTTATATGACTTTGGCTTTTCATTAAATTTAGTTTTTGTTTTTAAAAGCTGGCTACTAGTTTGACAGATATGAGCAGATTTTTGAGTCAGGGTTTCGCTGTGCAGTTCAGGCTGGCCTTGCGCTCACTTGTAGCTCGGGCTCCAAAGCTGCAGCTATTCTCCTGCCTCAGCTGGGATTACAGCTGCGCATTATCATGCCTGACCAGATTTTTTTTTTTTTTTTTTTTTTTTTGAGTATCAAAATATTGCAAGTTTATCTATATTTTTCTTCCCAGTACTGGGACTGAACCAGGGCCTCACGCGCCTGCCTGGCTCCTCTGCTGAGTGCCAGCCTGTGCCGTAATGAGCATTCTGTTGCACTGTGCCGGGAAGTGGGGTTCACTCTATCTAAGAAGAATACTAAGTTTCCTATAATGTTGTGCTTTTTAAAAATGAACTGGAATCACTGTATCAAAAGGCACAAATGCTAAGCCAGTGTTGGCTAAAATGGTACAGTGTATTTTTGAAAGGTCTTTTGATACCTCTCTGTGATAAGACTTCCTTCATATTTATAACCAAATCCTTTCTAGTCAGGGACTAGTCCGTGTTTCTAGTCAGTCACGCACAATTCTGATGCCTCTGTTGTTTAACCTGTGAGCCATCTTACATAGAAAATTGTTGATCTGCAAAAGAGAATGAAATTATCAGCACGATTAAAGTTGTACCTGGTGTTCATGATAAACACTGTGTTGACTGAACTTAAATAAAAGGCGCGGTTTTCCATAGACTGTCATTAAAGAGTACAAGAACCGAGCGTGGTGTCTCGTGCTCATGATCCCAGCAGTGTGGGAAGCAGAGGCTGAACCACAAGTTTGAGCCTACACTGAGGAATTTAGCAATTTAGTGAGATCCTGTCTCAGAACAAAAGAAGTGGGAATATAGCTCTACACAAATGTCCTGATACCATCATCTTTATTTTATTTTATTTTATTTTATTTTATTTTATTTTATTTTAGGAACAGGGCCTTGCTGAGATTATAGGCATGTGCCACACCCAGCTATGGCATCATTTTAAGCCTTGCGTAACCTCACAGTCTAACATGCTATCCTTGCAAGCCTTTTTAAGGCAGGGTCTTCTCTTTGGCTTAGGCCAGGCTTAAACTTGAACTCATGATCCTCCTGCCTCAGCCTCTGAGTGCTGGATGTGCGCTGGCACCTCTGGCAGTCCTGCGTATTTCAGTGGCCCAGCATGGGCATGCCTTGCATTGGGACTGAGAAGGGAGGGAGAAAAGGGGAGCTCAGCCTCAGGCTCCCGATTCCCTGAGGGGGCCAGGCAGGGCCCAGGCAAGGTATAGGCTCCTCCCTGAGGATTCCTCGCCATTCTGCTGCTTGCTGAGATAACGGAAATGGTTCTTCCTGCCACTCTGTCTGGCAAATCCAATAAACGCATGTTCCCTGAGGGTACTGCTGGCCCCACTTCCAGTCAGCCTGTACCTACCTTTGTGTCATGGAGTGGGACTTCAGGTTAGACTGGGTGTCATATCAGGCACATGTGACTGACATGATTCTGAGACCCAGTGTGATGCCCCGTGGCGTCACTGTCACTGGTCTGGTGTGCACTTCCCGCTTAGTATCACTGTGCCCCCAAGTCCCCAACAGCATAAGGGCAGCCTGGAGCCAGTGTGGGAGGTGGGGTAACGGGGGAACCTGGTAGGCCAGGCTGTCACTCCAGGCCAAGTTTGCTGGCTGCCTTGAGTGGAGTATCAGTCTCCCAGGTGCTCTGGCACCCCTGTGAGCAAGGACAGGGGACAGTCCCATCTAGAGGCCAGGCACTGAGCAGACAGATATCCTGGGGGCCAGTGGGCTGCTGGTTGGCCAGAGTCACACTGAAGACCCCGCTGAGAGGGGGTCATGTAGCCTGCACTTCAATCCTCCAGGCCTCTTTGTAGGGCTAGAGACGTGGGGACAGCAGGAGGTGAACAGAGCTGCTGACTGTGGGTGCCAGGAGACTGTGAACTCCTTTCAGGACACAGCGGCTCCCCCAGGCCCTCGAGCTATGAGGGCAGCACTGCCAAGACCCAGCCTCAGGACCCCTGCCATCGACAGGAAGCTCCAAGACATCAGCGTTCTGAATGCAGTGGCCTGGGCCCACACCCGACTGGGCCAGCATCACGTCACAGGTGGTGCCATGGGCATGATCAGCAGCCCCTCACGAGGATGGCTGAGGCTGAGTGTGCTGCAGTGGCCTGGGCCCGGGTATCACTCATGGGACTCTGGCTCTGGGATCAGCCACAGCCCTGTGGATGCTCTGCTCTGAGCGCTGCTTCTCTCCCTACCTGGGGACATGTGTACCTTAGTTCTGCAATGCACCAAATGCGCCCCAAATATATCTGTGGGAGTCTTCAGCGTCGCACCGTGTCTTTGGGGAGATATTGAGGGTTGGGTGAGGGCATGGAGGTGGGGTTCCTGGGCTGGGATTCATGGCCATGGGAGGGAAGAGGAATCTGGATGGTGAGTGTCCACAAAGAGGGCTCACGTGACAGCTGTGCTCACCAGCCAGCTGAGGGCTGACTACCTCCCCCTGTAGTGCCTCCCCAACCTTGACCTGGCTCCCCAATTTTCAGAGCTGTGAGAAGTAACCACCTGTGGCCTAAGACAGGTTCCATCCCTGGGCAATGAACTGGTACAGGCGCTGAGCCGGATACCTGGAGGGGTGGCCCGCGCACGATGCGGCAAGCCTTAGGCTGTCACAGCTGCTCCCCGTCCCTCCCATTTCTGTCCTGTGAAGCCAGCAGCACCATTAGATTCTGGTGAACACAAAACCTATGATGAACTGCATACGCCAGGAGCCCAGGCTCTGTGCTCATGAGATTCACATGCTGGGTGGCTGGAGGTGGAGCTGAGGCTGTGATGCTAACCATGAAGATCGTGGCTGCTGCAAATCCAGGCAAACAGGAGCAGAGAAAAAGTAATGTATTGGTTGCTTGCAGACTTGGCTCAAAACTCTATCAGTGAGTGGTAATTAAGCCGCATCTGATGACAGGATATACAGTGGCAAGGGAGTTGATGTTTTTCAAACATACAGCTGCATCTTTCTGTCACTTAATCTGCCACTTATTTAAATCTGCCTGCAGCCCACCCATTTTTTTACCGATCACTTCTGTATGTACCTCTTTCCACACAAGGACTCATCTTGGGCCCTGTCTTCATAAGCCCACAAACTAACCCCGGTCAAAGGGAGTCAAGAACATCACTAGACAGCTTACTTGAAGAGCAAAAAGACCCAATGATAAGATAGCAGAGGGGCCAGGGAGATGGCTCAGTGGAGTAAGCACTTGCTTGGGAAGCGCAGTGGCCTGAGTTCAATCCCTGGTTCCGCAAAAAAAAAAAAAAAAAAAAAAAAAAAAAAAAAAAAAA